ATTTGGTTTTCTTTTAACAATAATTTTAGATTTTCTATAAAATGATATTCCAGGGCCCAAAAGGTTATATATATGTGAAGTAAACCTGCAGTATGGAAACAGTACAACAAAATGGCCGTTTTACATTTTTTTCTAGTAAATTCCCCTCTAATATATATTCTATTCTCTTTAGATATTATTCATTGAAACTGCGTTTCAATTGAATACTTAACATGATTAACTTAAACCATGTGGCGTTCTTAAATTACGCTATAAATGTGCAGTGATAGATTAACTGCGTTATATATATTCTCTTTAATCCTTTAAAATTGTACCTTAAACTTTAACCTTGCGATAAATACATAATATGATGGTCTTAATCAAGTGATATCAGTAACATCGTAGGAATTTAATTACGTCAATTCCTGTTAATTTTGTAACCTAAACTATTGAATAAAGTGAGTTGATTGAGACTCCGCTTTGATTACGGTATTAGAAGTATTCTGTGTTCTCGTTGAAACATACAAGTATATATATATATATGATTATCTTCTTTGCATTTTTCAAGAATTTTAGCCTTTATATTTGATAATGTATGTCCTGGAAGGTTGAAGTGTTGATCAGTAGGTTGTGATTGATTTTCACTTTTTACATATATATATGGTGTTCTCTGAACCTATCATATAGTCTCCTAGTCCTGTCTCTACAATATACTGAATAATGTTGCAGCTGGGTTCACTGCAAGAAATATAGTATACATATATAGATATATGATAAGTTCATAATCCCTCCCTTCTGGTAAAATTTTAAGGAATATATAAAAGAAACTGAAAACTTGTTTTAGAATTATTGTATCTATCTATTTATCTAAGATAAGAATTAAGAAGAATAATTAAGAACAACATTAAATGTAAGACTTACAGTTATAAAATTACAGATGAAGATATACAAAGGTTGAATCCAGAGAATTTAACTGATAATGTTGATTTATCTATCTATCTATCTATCTTTCTATTCATCTATTTACATTTAGAAATGGTTAGAGGTATCTACCAGGAAGACCCATGATGCTCCCTCCTGTGAACTCTGCCAGTTCCAGTATATCAGAAAGAAAACGTTTTTGGTAATATTTTAATAAAAATATATCTACATTTATCTTACATAATATACATATGTAAACTTTTTATAACTATATTATATTTTGCTTAAACAAAGATCTGTTGTGTAACCAGGAAAAATTTATTGGATTTTCTGGCAGTGTTAGTGTACACATACTGTACTGTACTGTACTGTACTGTACTGTACGTTACTGCATTGTACTGTTCTAATCTGCCCTGTATTGGCTTACTAAACTTATACTGTACTGTACTGTACTGTACTGTACTGTACTGTACTGTACTGTACTGTACTGTACTGTACTATACTGTACTGTACTGTGAAAAGACGTAGCAAGGCCAAAGTCAAACTCATAAAATGCGAGTTGTAGCCTTTGTTTTTGGTTGTCATCTTTTATACAATGTACACTGTACACTATACAACCTATATAGCTCTTATCAGTTCATATCAAACCAAAATCAAACCAAAAATGAATACAAAACTAAAGTGCAGCTGATGTATAAAATTAAAATGTATGTGATTGTTTCTAAACTACAACACTGCATCACATACTGTCCCACGAAACATGACAGTACCAAGACGGCTTTAAATCTTTGAACTTTGAATTTTTCTGTGACATTCCTAGTCGTCAACCTACTGCTTATACATGCATGCTTCTTGAACAATATCACAATATTAACCTAGTCCTGCCATTTCCAAAATGAGGTCTGTCTTTTATCGGAAATATTAAGATTAAGTATTAAAAGCACAAAAAAGACAGACCATACTTCGGAAATACCAAGACTAGGGTTAATAAGTGATTATTAACCCTAGAATTTTATTTCTAAAACTAAGTTTACAAGTAAATGGCGCAATTTATTTCAAAGATCAAAGACGCGCTTCTATTTGTCATGCTACTGTCATATTTCGTGGGACACCCTGTGCATTAGTTATTAATAACAGGAGACTATTTCTTATTCTATTTTTATCCGCATTATTTTTATTTTTAGAATATTCATAGTAAGAATATTATAAGAGCTAGATCCAAGAAAAACAAATTAGATGAGAACCCCCTACTAGCAAACCAACATAAACAACACAATCTTTCAATATGTTACACTGAACTAAGCTAGATGTGGTTGGTCAAATAGGCTTATGATAGGCCGGGTAATGTAAAAAGTCAGGCCGCCCCATCAATTGTGAAACCAAGCTGGCAGGCCGGTACTTGCTACGCGCCACAAAGACAAAGGGTCGGTCCAGTTCGAATTCAAATAGACCTTATGTCCACCATGATATCTGTAACATCAGATTATGTGTATTGAATCTACTGCAAGCTTGGGCAGAATAACATTATTTACCAACCACACCAGAAGTAATGATTTATCTGGTGTACTGTCCTGTTTTACGAACCTGGAAAGAAATCATCATCATCATTTGCAACCCATTGGTGTCTTGTTGGAGACCCTCAGATTCTCGTTGGAGACACCCAGATTTGTATGGGAGACCCATATTTTCGACGGAGACCCTCTTATTTTCATCTTCAACACAAATCTGGGATCTCCAATGAAAATCTGGGGGTCTCCAATGAGAATCTGGGGGTCTCCCATGAGAATTGGGGGGGTCTTCAACGAGAATAAGGAGGTCTCCAACGAAAATATGGGGTCTCCAATGAAAATCTTGAGGCCTCCAGCGAAAATATGGGGTCTCCGATGAAACTATGTTGGTCTCCAACGAGAATCTTTGGGTCTCCAGTGAAAATCTGGGAGTCTCCAATAATAAAATGGGGTTCACCAACGAGAATCTGGGGATCTTGGGGTCTACAAATAAAAAATCTGGGGGTTCTCCAATGAAAATATGGTGGTCTCCAACGAGAATCTGGAGGTCTCCAATGAAATCTGGGGGTATCCAATGAAAATATGGGGGTCTCCAAGGAGAATCAAGAAGTCTCTAACGAGACGTCCATGGGATCTTCAATGAAAATCCTTTAGTACTCTAATGATGATGATTTCTTCCCAAGTTCCCAGACACCTGTATTACATTTTACAGTCCGTATGTTTTCTGTACAAAGGTACAAGATTGGCGGTGCTCATAAAATGAACAAAAGTTTAAAGTGGAAATTGTATAACCTTTTGATAATAGTGCGGGTTTACTGTTTATTTTTGAGTAACTAGAAAAAATTTTAAAAAATTAAGAAAATTTCATAAAAAATTTAGAATTTCCGAAAAATTTAAAATTACAAAAAAATTTACGAAAAACTATTGAAATATGTTTTCATAATTTCACTCATTTATTTTTTCTCATCTATTTAACAATATGTCATTAAGTATTTTTTTTCTCTCTATGTGTATCTAAAGTTTATTAGACCATATATTATAAAAAAGGGTTTAAGCGTAATTTTAAGCGACCCTGCATGGAAAGATGGCAATGCCCATTTCACAACTGTACCCTGAAAACCTTAATCTGATCAATAATGTGGAAGATATTGTCGTTTCACTAGGTTTAAGCCTCTTTAATTCTGATTATTTCTATTTTCCTGCAGTAGAAATGCACTTTCGTAAACCACGATTGAAAATACACAGTTTTCAAAATTATAATCATTGATATCTAATCCATACTTGACCAGACAAAGCTTTCATGTGTGCCGTTGTGAATCGGGCATTGTCATGTTTGCATGGAGGGTCACTTGAAATTACGCTGACAGTACCTTTAATAAGAATTTGTTCTTCTCTTTATAGATGAACCAATGCCTGTTTCCAACCTGCTCTGTCCGGGATAGGATCCTACATTCTATATTTCTATTCTCAATTCTCATAATGGTTTCATGCGCAGCTATCACTATTCTTTGCTTCAAGCAGGTAGTTATATTCCTCTCATTAATCCTTATAATATAGTTGCATGCGCAGCATCCTCTATTCTTTGCTTCAAGCAGGTAGTTATATTCCTCTCATTAATCCTTATAATATAGTTTCATGCGCAGCCATAACTTTTCTTTGCTTTAAGCAGGTAGTTATAGTTAATTATATTCCACTTATCAATCCTTATAATATAGTTTCATGCGCAACCATAACTTTTCTTTGTTTCAAGCAGTTTCATGTGCATTGTGCAGCCATCACTATATTCCTAATTTCAAGACAATTATGGGGGAAAATGCTATTTTTGTATTTGATGTTTGTTGCCGGCTTTCAAAAAGTTTAAAGAAGTGAAAGTTGTGAATTGAAATGAAGGTTTAAAGAGAATTTAGGCGTAATTGTATGGTACTATTCACTAATAAACTGCGGGGCATGTCTAATTCACAACGATTTTCTTAAAAGCTAAATGTCTAATAAAGAAAGCATGAGATATTGATAATCTTCTCTTTAATTTAAAAAATTGATTTTTTTCAATTGTGGATCTCTCGGAAATTACTTGCGCATTTCTGGATAAGAGACTATCGAATAAAATAATTGAATTATAGATAAATTTCAGTTAGAAAGCGACAGTACATTTAAATTGTTTAAAAGGCATACTCTTCTTCAACTGGAAGGTCACTTGATATCACACCGACAGTCCCTTAGAGTGAAAATCCTAATATTAATTCTGTTTTGTAGGATCGGGAAAATATTCCTAAAATAGTTGATGAAAACAATAGACTCTCACAAAGGTACAGAAATCTTAAATATTATTTTTAATAAAATTATGATGACGGAAATAAAAATAGTTTGTATACTGCAATTTTCTTGTTTTACTAAGTACAACTGTATGGAGTCAAAACATAAACAAACAAAATGTGAACATAGCAGACGAAACTCTTACAGATTTCAGCTTTCACAGTAGGTATCACTATACTAAATCAAAGAATTATTTGAAAAGACGATATCGAATTCGTCACTGAATTCCCATGTTTTTGGGACACCCTGTATAAGCTTCTGTACATGAACTACGAATGTTTATGTACTTCTAGTTGTTCTGTAAGTTTCTGTACATGAACTACGACTTCGCTATACAGGAATACGACAGGAAGAAGGATCCAGCAAAACAAGTAAGAACCGGGTTATCCCCCCCCCCCAAAAAAAAATTGAGCCTTGAGGTACTGGAGGCGTAATTTCAAGTAAACCTCCAACTAAAGATGACAATGCCTGATTCAAAATGGTACCTTGTCTGGATATTGCCATCTTTGCAAGGAATTTACACTTACAGTCCCTATAATAAAGACCTAAAACTCTTAAATTACAATAATCTAATGGTTTAATTTAGTCTTCTGCCTCAATATGTTACTTAAAGATGTGGCAATTTAAGAAATTTTAAAATCATAATTTTTAGAAGACTAAAAATGTTCAGAGTTTGTTATTCACAGTTTTTTTGTGATAGTCCTAGTTTTTTTTGGCGGCAGAGATAAAAAATCTTCGGAAATTAATTTACTTCAAAAAGACTAATTTTATTTTGAACCAATTTTCTAATTTTGCTTTATATGTTTATATGTTATGCAATTTTCAGATGGAAGATTCATGACACAATACTAGAACTGGAGGATTAATGAAGGTATTTTTAATTCGGATTTATCAATGAAAGAACCAAAAAACTTTGAAATAGGAAGATGACTTTTAGACTCAATTTATAGAAAGATGACTTTTAAACTCAGGTTATGACTTTTAAAAGTCCAATGAACATACGAACAAAAGATCACTTAATGAATGATGTAATTACTTACTAGTTAAACTATTTGCCTCGTAACTTTTTAATCGAATCTTCATTTTGCGCACAGCGCAGTTTTCTGGTTCGTACTGTAAATTTATAAATAAAAACCTTTATTTTAAACTTTAATAGATTAATTTTAATTCGTATTCTAAAAATATTTTAAGGTTAGTTCTTAGAAAACTTGAGACCAAAAAATGAGAAGTTTTTCTTTAATAGATACTTTATTTTTATCCGCATAAAAAGTTTTTTTTAGAAAATGTTTTTCATTTTTTGTTTTAAAGAGAATCCGTGATATTTTCCTCCCTGGCTGACTACGTGTCCGTCCAACCACTTCTCCTACAACATTCATCTAGGTGAAGAACATTTTAATTTTCTAGATTTTTATATTTTAGGGAATTTTTAGAATTTCAGAATAGAGCCGCTTTATTTAGATTTTCCATTGAGTTTTTTCATGATATTAAAACTAAATTAAGATTTTCTGAGGATTTAATATTAATTCTATTTTCAACGTTTTATTAACAACCTGACATTCCAAAATAAGCGTAGATAGATAGAATTTGAAATATCCTGACCATTTTCTTGCTTGCTTGAAGCGTAGAAACTTACTAGTCAAATTTAAATATTGTCATGACCACGTGGATATCTTTTAAAGAAAAGGTTTTTTTAATATTAAATGAACAGTTCATATTTTTTGAATTTTTGAAATTTTTTATTTTTGTAACTTTTTTATGTTTTAGGAAAATTAGAACAATGCTAAGAGTGAAAATTTTAAATGTGTGATAAAAACTTAAGAGTGACATCATTGATCAAACTGATCGAGTGAAAATTTTATTTAACTAAATACATTTAGATGTCGATTTTTTCCTTTGCCTTTTTTGATTTTTTCCTCATTGCTAGATTATACAAAAGCATGTATATAAATAATTGAAGTAATGAAGTAATGAAATTTTCATGCGTTTTGCAAATGTTTGCCACAAAGTCTTCCTTTGTTGAGAAATAAATTGGAAAAATCTGGAAAATGTATTTTAAATAATAATAAAGTCAAATTCTGTAAATAAAAAATGTAGGTATTTCTTTTCTAGAATATTGTATAAAATTAAGTTTAAAAGCTAAGGTTTACTGAATTTACCACTTTTCTGTTTCCAGAGCTGTATTTTTGCTAGTTATTTGACTGCATAAACCCCTATTTAACTAAGTTAAAACCCGTGCTATAAATCAATAAACCTATTCAAGAATACAAAAACTTGAAGTTTATTGTTTACAATGAAACAAAATATAATACAATGATACAAAGAGGTAACTATTTTCCTTCAAATAAATAACCCCCCCCCCTCCAAATTTTTAAATCCAAACTTGTGTTACGTTAAATTCACTCTCGACTTAACGGTTCTATATCTTCGGTCAGAGTACTGAAGATTACTGCAGAACACACCGAAAGCTAAATTGAGGGTGACGTGAGTATAATGTTTTATAGAAAATGAAGTTGTATTTTTTCTAGCAAAACATTTTCATTCGCTTTCCAATATATTCATAAATTCTCATAATCTTTACTTCCTTGCCAACATTTCTGGGAAATAAACATCCCTGTGTCCGAATTTAATGAATTTAAGCCGCGTATCAAATATCCCAAAAACCGGTTACAATTGAGCGCGGGCTTAAATCTTGAAATATCTAATACAATTTCAAGTGGAACCAATCATATTTGAGCCGCGGCTTAAATTTAAACCGCGGCTCAAATTCTTTAAATTCGGCCTCTGGTTATAATTTTGTTAATTAATTTCCTCTTGTGGGTTGTGATTAGTCAATTGTCTTTCTGTTCCAATATGTACACTGTACACTATAGACTGTATGCTGTTGTACATAGTGAGCTGTACCGTTATTTTTTATAAAAAAAAATTTCCAATATTTTAAGTTTGACACCTTTACATACAAACCAATATTAAAATTGTGAAATTTTGTTTCTTTTCGTAATTTGTTCTTTTGAGACATGAGCCGGCTTTAGAAATAAAAAGTTATAATTTAAAAATTACTAATGTAAAGTTTAAAACTTTATTGAATAACAAGGAGGACGACTTTAAATAAAATTAAACTTTTTTTTCGGACACAGTTATCCTGTCGTTTTAAGTGTCTGTTAAACCTATTTTAAATACACTTAAGTATTTCTATAAAGTCGTTTTCCTATTTCAGAGTTTTCTGGTTATATAGGATCATGAAAAATGTTCACAATTGTAAATGAAAGTTTTAAACAAACAAAGTTATGCCATTACATTAATTTTCTTTGGTTTTAATTGCAAACTCCGTGAAACAATTGTTGCGAAAGCTCATTTTTGTAATCATTGTCTAAGCCCAAACGTTTGCATGTACAGGGTGTCCCAACATACATGGGAATTAAGAGACGAATACACAATCGTCTTTGTTAAAAATTAGCGTTGTAATGCCTAATTTTCATTTTATGTATAGGGTAAAGGACTGTTTTGTAATTCTGAAGTACTACAGGATGCTGTATGCAGGCAAAACATTAAAAAAATCAAAATTCTATACTCTAGCCGACTAATACAGCTTTTCTATGTAGGGATCACAATTGCACACTAAATCAAAAAAAATATTTACAAAATTTTCACTTAATTCCCATGTTTATTAGGACACCCTGTATCAAATTATGTGAAACCATATTGGAATCATGTAAATTACATTTTTTAGAATGATGCCTTTACAAAAACTGCTACCCCTGCGCTTTAAACAGAATTATTCAATCCCTTTGTAACAGAGTTTCCATTTTTTCCGAATAAATTTGCCTCCTTGAAGGTCTTACGGAACTTTTCCTAAAACTGTTACTCAAACTTTTGAGAAATATAGGTTTACGGATATTTCGGGAAAATTTTACAGTTAACGTAGTTCAGCATGACTCAGCTTCTTCTGTAAAGTGTGTTAGGGTAAAGTATTCCGTAGTTTTCAAAAGTTTTTAAATAGCTTCAAACAAATTTCGTAACAATATTTCGTCACGGATTTGTTCCGGAAAAGATGAGAAACCCTATTCTATAAAGTATAAAAATCTCAACATATTTATATTATAACAGCACCTGTAAAATAGAAAAACACTTTTCTTCATATTTTGATGTATTTATTTACTCGTAAAATATATTATATACTTCTATGCATTTGTTTATTTAAAGATGAGACTCAAACAACTGTAAAAGCACAAATTATACAAAAAATATTAAAATTTGGTGTTGGTGTCCTTCCAATGTGTTATTTAAAAAAACTCTCGATATTCAGTTCTAACGCTACGTAAACCATCAAAAGCAACGATTAAAGACAAAAAGTATTAAACAGCTACAAGATATAAATAATTTTTAAATTAGTTGTCAGATGAAAAAAAAATAAAAAATCAAATCAAAATAAGTCAACTATTTGCAAATATTCACTTTTTAAAAAATGTGAATAAAATGAAGATTGAAAACTAACTGCTTAAATGTAAAGGGTGTACATTACTAAAGGTTTCCACCTACCATGTCTTCTCTAATTTATGTAAATCTACGAATATTAAACTGAACATGTTCTAATTCATATACATATACATAAGGAAGAATTCTGCATTGACGAAAGATGGATCCTGTATTAAAAAAGTGGCTGGAAAAGTCCAAAATGTAACTTCGTTGCCCTGTCAACTCTAAAGAGAAACATGCATTAAAGAAACGAAGTAGATGGACACAAATAAAACCTTTGTAGAGTTTAGAAGGTTGATAGAGTCTATGTGTCTACTGCTAGCTACAGGGTGTCCCACGAAACATTCCAGATGGTAAATAGTTAGAAATTTCTTCTTCCATAATTTGATAAGTTGTTTGATACTAAAGAGACTAATAACATTTTTATAAGACAGTTATATACCATAGTAAAATTGATTTCACAGTAAAATATATATGAGTTAAATCTTTTTTAAAGAAATAAACTGCAAAAAGTCTTTAATATCTAATACAGTATGTGGAAGAAGACGTTTAAAACTATTCACCAACTGTCACGTTTCGTAGCTGTAGCTGGCAGCTTAAATTTTCAACACCAGGTCGCAGAAGTCCGAAAACAACTACTAGATCATTTCAAAATCCGATTTTTTTGCTGCTTGGACTAGTTTTATTATATTATAAATACATGAGATTCTATTTACAATATTGAGAGCTCTAGAATGTGAGTGTGAGTGGGGGGTCTCGTTAACTAAGGACTACAGCTATCCTATTCCTAGGCCATAGTCCTTGTTTATAGATTGTAAGATAACTTCTATCATTACATATGATTTAACTATTGTTTTTTTTCATGACAGGGACTGTATAAATAATTTCAAGTGGCCCTCAATTTCAAGAGTGATATATAACCAATTTACAAAGGTGTATAGTTGTTTAGCAACACTGGGGAAGATATACTCATTTTTCCATTTAAAATTGTTAAAGTGTTGGATTCTTTTAAATACGTTCTTTCACTGCTGCTGCTGTCGTTTGGAAGAAAATAACACAATTTGAATTTAATTGTTGAATACAGTTGTTTTATGTTAAAAAATACTAATCCTTAATATCTAGAAAATCCAGAAAATATAAATTTACAATAAAATTTATGGAAACTGCGTTTGCCATAAAATATTCGGGATTTTCCGGGAATAAGGTTTCTGTCAGCTGTATTGAGTTCACACTGTACGCTAGTGTACACTCCAGTTCCACGGAGTTCTCTACCCTCGGTTTATAGATTGAATGTATTTAAGATATGGCCTTTATGAACCATCAAAAGATTTAAAGGTATCGTTGTAAATTTTGCAAGGAGGTCCACTTAATGTTACGCTTTCAGTCCCTTTAATGTTTGATAATTGTATATTTCTTCATGTATGTTTAGCACGTATAGGGTTTTATTAATCGGTTAAGAACCAATAATAACATGGCTTAGCCTTTTCTATTTATTATAGGCACTAATTACATTTAATTAAGCCAATTCATGTTCAGTTAATTAGTGCCGTAAATAATTAAGTAAGNTTAATTTGCGCATTATTTTTTTGCAAGAAAAGGATTTAAGGACACTGTTGCTACTCTGAAATGAAACTCTATAAAATGGAGCAACATTTAAAACTACGCCTAAAGTCCCATTAATTATTTTATCAAAGCATCCTATCAACCTATGTCATCAATATCTAGAAAGTGCATTAGTCTAATGTCAACAAAACTTAAGCATTCGTTTCCTCTTGAGCACTTCATTTAAATTTTTTTTAGATCGCGAAAATAAAAGTAAGCTTGATCTTTCTAAAGAATAAGCGTTTTAATTTAAAGGGACTGTAAAGGAAAAATGAAAATGGGCATAGGATGAAACCTGAGAATCTCAGGCGTTGAACGATACATATAAAGCATCTATCTGATGTTCCTGTTTCAAGGATTTGATATAAAACTGTGTCAAATTTATACGAAAATTCATAAACATGCAATTTTGTATAAAAGTTGTAGGTTTAAACAGATCATATTCAGCAAATACGCAACCAATCTATAAAACGAATATATCCCACAGGAGCCTGAGAATCTCAGGTTCGCTCCTGTTATAATTGTTTAATTTTTATTTTGCTTTTTTAATAGATATAATTGATAATATTATTATTAATATAGTATAGTCCGTATTACGTCACCAGAACTTCAGCCAATGGAACATCAGATTGAAGTCTTAAATGTATCATTCACTTCCTGAGATTCTCAGGTTTCATCCTAAAAGCTTTTTGGAGGGGAAAATATTAAAAACTAAAAAACCATCCCTCTTGAAGGTGCAGGTGGAGAACCTACGGCAGGAGATGCAGGAGAAGGACGAGCTCCTGCAGGAGGCGACCAACACTTTGGACATCCTAGACCAGAAGCTCCGCAACAGCGAGAGAAAGCACGAGCAGGAGATGGCCGAGCTACTGGACCGATATGTAGAAAATCCGCAACCAAAATTTGAACTCGGCTCACCGAGAAAATCCATGAAATCTCCGGATGTCTACCGGAAGTTAACTTCACCGGCCGGCGGCCGAAAACTTTTCAACTATGACGAATTTGTGAACAAAGATGATCGATTAGTGCTCGGGATTCTGGAGGAAAAAGGTAAAAATGTTTCAAAACTAAGTTAATCCGCCAAATATTTTTATTAAATATTAGATGTAAAAGCGAATGGATTCTTTTTCCAATTAATGAATTGTATATAAAAAGTATATTTGATATTAACCACAACAATTATACTTCAGTTGTTCAGTTGTCAGTTGTTCAACATAGTTCATAGTGTTCATATTAATTCTATAGTTCACTACTCTTCTAAAATTCCCAACTCTTCAAGTTTCTACATTAAATATTTCCCAACTCCCCTGATTCCCAACCTCTATTATTCCCAACTCTTCAACAGTTCCCAACTTTTCTAATCCCAAACTCCTCTAATTTCCAATTCCTCTCATTCGCAACTCTTTCATAGTTTCCAGCTCCTCTAATTCCTAACTCTTCTTTAATTCCCAACTCTTCTATAGTTCCAAACTCCTCAAGTACCCAATTCCTCTAGTTTCTAACTTCTACAGTTCCCAACTCCCCTAATTCCCAACTCTCCTTGTTTTCCTTGTTCTCCTTGTTCTCCTTGTTCTCCTTGTTACTCTTCTGTAGTTCCCAACTCTTCCATAGTTTCCGATTCCTCTAATTCCCAACTCTTCTATAGTTCCCAACTCCTCTAATTCCCAACTCTTCACTAGTTCCCAACTCTGCTGATTCCCCACTCTTCTATAGTTCCCAACTCTTCTAAAGTTTCCAACTCTGATATAGTTCCCAACTCCTCTAATTTCTACCTCTTTTATTTCCAAACTCATTTAGTTCCCAATTCCTTTAGTTCCCAATTCCTTTAGTTCCCAATTCCTCCAGTTCCCAATTCCTTTAGTTCCCCAAACCTATAATTCCCAACTTCTCGATTTTAAACATGTTTAATTGAATATTAAAAATTAGTCGAATTTTCTGAAGAATCTATTTATTGGTTAAACCACAAATGATTTATACTTCTGTTTATTTTTACGTGATTAATGGAATAGACTGCACCTAATGTAAAGTCATCATACTCTTATGGATTGTTTTTTAATTACTTCAAATGCAAATCATGTTTTTTACTTTATTTTGCCAAACACTTAATTTAAACAAAACCTTACGCATTTATATACATTGCAGGTAATTACGAAGATGATGTAATTTTTTTGTAATAATGATAAAATACATTTGTAAACCTGTTATGTAACTCATTTAGTTTAATTTACTCTTGAGATGAAAATTGATGGCGTTACGAGGTCAAAATTTTATACAAGTACTCATGCACAAACCTAGACATGTTTCATCGCCTCTGATGTCTTCTCTTTAATGGGGTTATAGCTCTGCACAATATCATAAAAGTATATAATTAATTTTGGAGGACTAATTGTTCATTTGCAGATAGGTTTAATTATTAACTAGATGATTAGTCGACATACAAAAAGTTGACATTAGGGATAGAAGGGTTAAACAACGGTAAAGAAGGGGACCCAAGGGGTGGCAGGGTAGAGGAAGGGGGTTGTTGAAGGAAGAATTAGAAGTTATATAGATGGGGGTCGATGAAAAAGAAACTAGGCGGAGTAGGGGGTGCTGTTTAAAAGGAGTGGAAGTGCAGGGTGCAGTTTAGAAGTGAATAAGCAAGGGGGACTAGGAGGGGTAGAAGGTAGGGGTAGAAGGGGATTAGAAGGAGTAGGAGGTGCAGGTGGGATTAGAAATAGAGGAGAAGCAGGGGAATTAGCAGGTGAGAAGGTGCAGGAGGATTAGAAGAATTTGTATGTGCAGGGGGGATTAGATAGAGTAGGAGTTGCAGAGAGTGTTACAAGGTGTAGATGTTGCAAGGGGGAAGTAAGAGGTGCAGTAGGATTGAACTCATAAAGTGATGGAGATTGAATGATAAATGGGTAGAAATGGACAGAAGAAATTGTAGTAGATTTCATGAAGATTCGAGAAGATATTTAGATTTTGAAGGAAACGTCTTTAGTCAAAATTGTTTAGTTTTAATATTATTTATTAGTATAAAACTATTTTTCAGATAAAATGTTGATTGTTGATGGATGATTTAG